TAATGTCTGGTAACATTAGATGTTGCATATTTGGACTTTTTTGTCCTTTATATACACTGTACATTGCAAAATTAAACACAGCTATAGGGGACAATGGTCAATTTTGCATTACCAAAACCTTGAGTTAGTGTTACACCCTTTACATATATTTTTTGTTCCTTCCTCCCTTCCCAAACCAGCAAACATGTGCTGCTTGGAAGTGGTTCTATCATTCCATTTCCAAAAGACAGTATTTCACTATTAATATTAACAAAAGCCTATCTACAGTGTATTATTCACTATACCTACTTTTAACATACTTTGTGCACTTCTAAACATCTAGAAAGACTAGATGTTTCAAATAAGGACTTTTGTCCACTATATACACAGTAGTGTTGGATAAACTACACACATGTAACAATGGTTATATCTGAAAGTGTCCTCTAATAAGAGCATCTGGTCTAGGACTCTTCAGTTCTTCCAATTTATATATCATGTGATATAGGCACATGTCACATTGTTTGCAAATTCACAGCCCTTTTCAAAAGACAGCCTTCTCTGAATTTTAACACAAAGTATACAAAATGTGTTAGTTTACTAACTCTACTTTTGTCATACATTGGCAACCTCTTTAATACCTAGAGACTAGCTATCATAAAATTAGGACTCCTTTGTCCACAGTATGTACAGTATGTACAGTATAGCAAATTTAAATGAAATGCATACAACACACCGGGTGATGGGTAAACTAAACATTTCTAGGACACACTAATGAACTTTTTCAGTTTCTTCCCTTTTACCACCCCTCAATCCCGAACAAGCACAACCAGACTGAGCTCTCTAAGAGGTCTAGGTCCTTGGGGCAGCTTCTCTAGGACTGAGGTCCTGGGCTGGGGTGTTCTGGGCTCCCCTCTTTTTCCACGGGGATAGGGCCTGTGAGGGGAGTGTCTGGCTGAATCTGAAAAGCAACATGTCACTTTCGCAGCTTCCAGCACCTACAGGTGTCTTGGTTGAGATCTAAGCCCTGCCCTTGGCAACGGAGGAAGCTGCGGTGTCTACAGCAGCAGCGGCAGGTCCGGGGGTCAGGGCACTGATGGCGCTGGGTGCAGCGTGGGCAGAGGATCCTGGGGCTGGAGTGGGATGGATGATGTCAGCTGGGGAGGGTGCTCCAGGGGTGGAATCCCAGCCCGGAACAGAGCAGGGCTGGGGAGATGGTGGGGTATGGCAGCCCTGTTTGGCCAAGGACATCTCCCCCAGCTGACTGCTAGGGTACTGGATCATGAGGATCTGCATTCGGACTTGGTGCTGCCCAGTGGGTACCCATTCCAGGCGCCAGGCTTCGCAGCAGCCACCACAGCGTTGCATGGTCACACAGCTGGGCACCAGTTGTTTGGTCACACTGCCCATGAGCTCCATGCTCAGAGGCACCACCACCTCCCTGGGCTGGCAGGTCAAGCTGGGAGACAGGGGCCTGGGCACCAGCCAGCTGCAGCAGCGCAGCAAGCAGCAGGTGGCGGAGTAGGGGGCTCATGGTGCCCGCTGGGGCCGCAGTCCAGGGGCTCCCACATCGCCCTAGCCTGGCGGCGCGGGGAGCAGCGGCAGCCAGAGCCCCATGGCGCTGGCCGGGGCGTGGGGATGGGGGGATGGCTCCTCCGCAGGCCCCCTCCCGAGCCCTGGGTGCAGGCAGCGCAGCTTAGGGCCGTGGCAGTGGCCGTAGGAGCCGAGCAGGCGGGCAGGCGGTGGTGGCGGTGGTGGTGGCGGCGGTGCAGCTGGAGGGCTGCGAGTTCGAGTGCCTTATGAAGAGGTGCTCGGTGACTATCGGGCCAACTTGTTGCAGGGCTCAGTGGACGTGAGCATGGGCCACTCGAACTTCATCTCACTCGGTGCCACCTGGAGATCTTCACACCCCGGGCGGTCGCCATGGCGCGGCTGCCCCAGAGCCCGCGCAGCCCCAGCCGTGGGTTTTTTCAGTGGCCGGAGAGAGGGATGGAGAGGGGTGGGAGATACAGATAAAGGGTCTTGTCTACTTAGACCGAGAATAAAAGGAAAGAAAAGGAGGAAAGGAAGGTTTAAAATAGAGAGCGTAGAGAAAACTACAAAATCAGACCCCCACCTAGTAAGACATCAAGCGCGTGCATCACACTGAATCACCGGTCCTCCTTT